CAAGTCGGTGCATTTCGACGATATGGGAAAATTAAAGCCCAGGCTATTATTTCTAGTTTTATGATATTCGATTTGTTCATATTACATTTTTATCATTAGTTTGAATTAATTTGACAGACAGCATTACCTGATGTGGACCAAGCTAGCGTCTTTCAGAGCTGCCAACTCTCACAACACTTTTCACACACTTTCACGCCACACATCAATTTTGTCATGCACAGAAAAGGACACGGAGACCGATGTCAGCTCTCAGATTCTGTTCATTTTATTACGCAATTCAAACAATAAATACAGTATTGGCACTTTACACGACAGATCCCTAGCGCACGTGAACCGATCATCTCTACTAGCTAATGGTAAAAGAACACGAACACTGTTGAAAGATACAGTATGCTACAACTTACCAAAAGTTATTCCTCATGCATAATATCGACCAATCATTTTTTTTTTAACTCTTCCCTGAACTGAAATGTAGTAGTGGGCTGTATTTTCCACACGACTGACGTCAGGTTCAAGTACACACAAGCTGGCGCGAGCGCGACTTACTCGTGAACTGCAGTTTGGCTGGTGGTAACGTTGCCCGCCCGCATACCGCCTCCCATGGTCGAAACTGGTATTACGACACCTAACGGGCCGGGGCTAGTAATTTAGCATGCTAATTCAGGTTAATATCTCGGCAGCACTATAACTTGTCAGTTTTTTAATGACATCATCAACCTTATTTCTTCTCAATCTTTTGATGCGTGTTGCTCATTTTTGGGATATTTTAACCTCAATTTTTACAGATGGCACCTTTAATGTTTAATTTTCTTTGACTGACCAAATTTGAAAGTTGAGACTTTGTTTCATATTAAATATAACCTGCTCGATCCTTTCCGTCAACGCGTTCTCAGTGTCCTCTATTTTTCACTGCTTGAGAACATGGGTTGAATCTGAAATCGCCCTCTAAACCCTCATTGACTAGGCCTACTCCCTACATTAGTCCAATAATACTGTTCACTTGAAGGAGTGAATGAGAAGGAGTAAAAAAAAAAAAAAGAGTGAGCGAATTTGCGTCCCATTTTCTCACAAATCTCTACGTTCGTTTAAAACTTTATCTAAATCATTTAAAGGACAACTCCGGCGCAAAATGAACCTTTGGTCTAATTACACATTGCCACCTAGTCAACCGTTATCTGAGATTTGTTTTCATGATTGCCGAATGTAAATAGTTTTATCTCTAAAAACAGTTTAGCCTATAACACTAGTATAATGCTAGTATATAGGGCATAGAGTAATGACAAATAAAAATCGCTTGTTATTACCACCAACAAGGCTCAAAATAGCCCCATACCAACACGACAGCATAACAAGGGTCCCTACATTCAAACCGAAGCATTGAGAACTTTGTCAGTGTCCATACAGTTTAATAAGAAGATATTTTATACACACAGTCAACTTCGCGAATACAGGAAGAAGCCATCTTTGAAAAATAGTCTCTACCAGTCGATCTACGAGCGCCGATCCAAGTGCGCTGAACTGTGCAGAATCTCATATGGTCCGTTGTTTCCAGAAGAAACACAAACACAAACCGTTTATTTGTCTTCAATATGTACACGTAGCCTACTGTTCGCGCTCACTTTATCACCTTATTCACATCTCACCAGCGCACTTGGATCGGCGTTCGTAGATCGACTGGTAGAGACTATTTTTCCAAGATGGCTTCTTCCTGTATTCGCGAAATTTACTGTGTGTATAAAATATCTGCTTATTAAACTGTTTGGACACTGACAAAGTTCTCAATGCTTCGTTTTGAATATAGGGACCCTTATTATGCTGTCGTGTTGGTATGGGGCTATTTTGAGCCTTTTTAGGGGTAATAACAAGCGATTTTTATTTGTCATTACTCTATGCCCTATATACTAGCATTATACTAGCGTTATAGGCTAAACTGTTTTTAGAGATAAAACTATTTACATTCGGCAATCATGAAAACAAATCTCAGATAACGGTTGACTAGGTAACAATGTGTAATTAGACTAAAGGTTCATTTTGCGCCGGAGTTGTCCTTTAAGACTGCTCTTATGGACATTTTGGCATAATTTGTGTGTGTTATGGTTTGTTCAGTCTTTTCTGTGGGTTATGTGTCTGCGTATTATAGGCAGGACTTAGCGGATACTGCGTAATTGCGTTAAATAGTTTTAAGGCTTTAAACTGTTTTTAAACAGTGCCGCGGTGGGCAAGTCATGAAACCGGTGTTGCGACTGAAGACCGTGTAAAAACCGGTAACACCGACTACCGTAGCAAGCCTAGCGTGGGCACAAACTCAGATGTGAAGCTCATCAACAGAAAAATAACATTTCACTTTCAAAAAAATAACATTTCTAAAAAAAGAAAGAGCGAGCACATGTTGTGCATTACTCAAACAACTCTCATCACATGTGGCCTGAGACAACAGGGAAATTAACAGCAAAAGAGTTTTCTCCGACTCTCTCTGCACCAGCTTTGCTTTCACAAAGCCAATATGCTGATGCCCCTATCTAAGTTTCAACCTCTGGCTAAATTCCATCAATCAAAGTGTCTAACAAGAGCGAAAGACCTGAATGAACCAATCTCAACTGAAAGTAAACTCCAAGAACGCCAAAGACAGCCTAGGTCCTTATTTTTACAAGGCACGACCGTATTTGTCAATTAACTTCTCCGTTAAGAGTTTTCGAGATCAGAATCTGGCTTTAGAGGAAACAGACGCACGAACAACCGCACGTCAATGAGTACCACATCTGTGTAGCACAACTGCTTTAGGAAACTGATTGAACGTCGGTTCTCGTTGTGGCTTTTCCAAACTGTTGCAGGTGTTTCTGTTGCTCCGATGCCAACAAAAAGGGCCTCATAGGGGCTTTCATAACAGCTCTGTCAAGACCAAATTGAATCACTGAGCGGACAGACCTGGTCTGATTTAAACATGTCCTTTGGCACTGTGGATAGCATGTCTGCAGCTCTGATTAGAAACAGTTAGCCAATAAGCGCACACTGTTGTGCACAAGAGATATGTTTTCATGGCTGAGCCAACAAACATATAAAAGTCTGGAATCTGCCTTTCAGCGCTAAAGTTGCAGCTCGGCGGTTTTGTTTTGCTTTTGGTACGCTCAGGTTTTCATTGCCAACCCACATCGCTCGGTGTATCGTCTCAACGAAACAAAAATATCCTGCTTTGCTCTATTACATACTCAAACCCTTCCTGATAGAAGACACCAAGGAAAGGGAGGATAAAGCGTTTGGGGTATTGGAGGGGGGAAAGGGTTTGAACATGGAGTGATTCACACAGGCAGGTCGGCTCATCCCTCGCAGCTGGCTCTTTAAATGAAACCTGCTGTTTCCCACCCGTGTTTACGTTTGGCTGCCTCACTCTTCTTCATAAGGTTTCAGACTACAGGAAAGCTCTGAGCAAAAACAAAGGCTTTTTCAAAGGTAACCTCAGCAGTTTAAGATAAAATGTTTTTACTGTTCAATATGAAAAGCACCTGCTGCTAAATTAAAAGGGATACTATGCAGTTTTTTTAGCTTAAGTGAACAGCTTAGGAGTTATTGAAATGGTTATGGGGACCGAGAAGGGTACAGTTAATCGGATAATCGAGACATTTCATTTCAACAGTGATTAAAAAGAGTCAAACAAAATTGTTTTATTTTTAGAATTATTCGATTATCTCACATTCTAAATAACATTTTTGTTTTTCATGCTATAAGAAAACCAATAAAGTATATTTTATTTAATTAGCTAATTAATTACATTCATTAGTTAATAATAATGTCACATTGAATCCACAAATTAATGTAGAAACAAATATGGTATGTTTAATGGCATCTTTTTACTAAGCTCTACAAATAAAAACCAGTATCACTGATCCCAATACTGATGTCTGAAAAAAAAATTGATTTTAGCCATTAAATATAGCCTCATTTTTTTACTCATTTTGAATGAGTTAAATTTAAATTAAATTAAAATTAATTAAAATTAAATGTAATTAATAATATTGTTTGTAATCTGTTGCCACAATTTTATTGATTAGATAAAGCGTATTAATTTTTACAGTGCAGTACAATTGACATTTTTAACATTCAATGGGCTTTACAAAAATAAAAATAAAATAATTTAAGTGAACTTAATCTTCATATAAACTATATATTGTACATACATAAAAATATACATATACATATCTTCAGCCAGTTTATATCTAGAGGATTATGTGACACTGAAGACTGGAATATTGGCTGCTAATTTAGTTTTCCCATCATATGAATAAATTAAATTTTATATCAATGTATTACAAATATATTAAAGTAGAAAACAGTTATCATAAATTGTAATAATATTTCACAATTATTTTCATCAAATAATTGCAGCCTTGGTTATTTCTTTCAAAAACATTTAAAAAAAATTAAATTACTGACCACAAACTTTTTGAACAGTAGTAAGTGTAAAAAGTTTCCAAAGAATAATACAAAATAATTAATATACATAGTAATAAAAAAATATATATGGTGTGGGCATTCCTTTTTGTTGAGCCCTGTGTAGCCTGAATATCGAATATAAAGTGCAGCTGCTCCACACAAAATAACCATTTTAATGTAAACTCGATAGATTAATAACCATGATATTTAAAAAAAAAAAAAAAAAGAAATATTCACCAACAATAAAGTGTCATAATTATGCAGCCCTAGGACAAACGGAGCAGTGGACGACGAATCTGCTAAAAGACAGGTTGTTACACTTTGCCTGCCATGTAAAAGGGAAATGACCTCCCTGGCCTGTAGGAACATCAATGACAGAAGCAGACACTTCCACATTTCCACAGTTTCATCCAGATGGATGAACAGTGTGAGCCAAGCATATCGAGTTTAGTCTCCGCAAGAGATGTTAGGAAATTTGAAGTCTGTTTCTCTGGGTAGAGCTAGAGCTAGCAGTGGAGAGCGAGAAAGAGAGAGATAAACAAATCTACAAAATCACTTCATTTATTCCATACCTGGAAGCCTTGAATATGGGCTAAATACTCCAGCTGCTGGGAAGGCTGGATGGAGCCACAGGCCAAAGCAGGTGCTTTCCCCTTCAGGACCAGGGCCTCAGCGGTGGGTGACGTCCCGCTCAGGAGCAGCTCTCTCGCAATGGCTGCGGTGTTTCCCACTGATGGGGTGTAGAATGGCCCTGCGGAACCTTGGCCAATGTCTTTGGGTGTCAGATAGTTTCCAGGGGAACCAGGGACTCCCTTATTCCTGCTTGCTTCCATTTCTTGATACACATCCGGGGAGAGGTGAAGAATTCCTTTTTGAGCTATATAGGGATGGAGTAAGACACATTCTGAAAGTTAAAAAGGTCATAAATATGTATATATATATACATTTTCATAATACATTTTTAAAGAAACTAATACTTTTATTCAGCAAGGAAATATTAAATTGACAGCAAATACTTTTTGAACAAACATTGTTCTTTTGATCTTTACAAGCATCAGAGATTCTAGAATTTTATTTTAGCACAGTTTCCACCAAAATATGAAACGGCACAACATACAGACATATGTGACTAAAGGGATTATTTTAATATAACAAAATATGTGTTTGTGTGTTTGTATGCATATATACTAGGGATGCACGATATATCGGCCACCATATCGGTATCGGCCGATATGTTCATTTTTAATGTTATCGTTATCGGACTGGTAAGAAAATGTGGCCGATAAATTAAAGCCGATAAATAATGTAGTATTCCCTTCAGCTGAGACACTCGTTGAGCACTGTTTATGTTTTTGAATTCCTTGAAATATGATTGAAATCTCTTCAAAAAATGAAAATACGGTTCATTGCAACATGTGCAGCCAAATCTGGCATATTGGCTACATAACACTATAATGAGAACATCATTATAATCGTGCACTTGGGACATGGGTTTAATTGTGAGACTTTTGTTTTTGTTATCAGGCTCTCAAAATTGTAAAAAAATTTGGATTTCAATTTATCGGCCAATATATCGGTTATCGGCTGTCAAATAAAAAGAATTATCGGTTATCGGTATCCGCCAAAATTTTCATATCAGTGAAATAAAATTTTCATTTTACATTATCTATCATATATATATATATATATATATATATATATATCTTATCATAATAGACCCACATCATCACACACCTTCCACCACACCTAGAGATTGGCATGGGGTACTTTCCATAAGATCATCTTTCAATGCAAATCAAACCAGCTATTAGGCTAACTGAAGTAAAACCATGCCAATCTCTAGGTGTGGTGGAAGGTGTGTGATGATGTGGGGATAGTTTAATTCCAAAGGCCAAGGGAACTTTATCAGGATGCATATTATCCTGGATCCATGAAATAACTGGCTTTTAAAAATAAAAATCTGCCTGACTCTATGGGAATTTAACATAGGGGGGCAATGACTTATGCACCCTGTATTTTAAGGAAAAACATTTATTTATTTATGATACGTTATTTATTCACAAAGAAAATTTGTGTCCTTAAAGGTTGGAGTTTTCCTCATTTTTCTAATTAAGGCATTAAGATCAATATCCAAAAGATGATTTTTTTTATTCCTCTTTTTAGGCAACTTTAGCATGGGTGTCCAAACTTATTCACATCCCTGTATATGCACTGGATGTGTTTAAAAGGATTTGAAGGATATCAAATCATAAGGCTATTTCAGGTGTGCTGTACTATTTTTTTTTTTTTGTTCTGACTCATGATTTTCACTATATATGATAACAGGGGCTTCTTTTCCCAAAAGGGTCAACTGTAAACATCTGTTGAAAATTAAGTTTTGTCATCTTTTATGAGAACACTACAACATATAAATAAACTCAAATCTGACAGACAAGGACTAAAAGCCACAAAACTCTAATTTTGGGGTTCTTACAGAAGCCAGTACAGAGTGAAAAGGAAAAAAAGATGAGAGAAACAGAGCAGCTGCAGTAAATGTTCTCAACTGTGCACAGATTCTGCTTCCTGTTTGCATTTTCTGTCCCGAACGAAGTCTCTAAAAGCAGCAGGCTGGTCTACACAATTTCTGACAACTCAGAACAAGCAACAACTGATTTAACTTAGTGTTCGGACCATAAAACTGGTAAATATTATCCCAGAAAATTGTGAGAAATGTAAATAGGCAGTTTCTCCAAACGCTGCAGTGTGCCGTTGACACAGGCCCTTAATTCATGGAGTGAGAATGCAAATGAAAACCAGCAGTTTGGAGTTCCCGTCGGCCATTTCAACAAGGCTGATTGGCAAAGAGGCAACTGACATTGAATACTTAAAACGTCACACAACAACATGCATTTCGTATTACACAAATCAGCATCCCAAGCCCGCATGAGAAAAATTCATACTTAAATTGGTATGAAACAATAGATGTAAGCCAGAATGACATCAATTGGGAATTGCGACAAAAAGCACATAAACGCTGAGAAAAAACCAATACCACTACCCCATCGGCACCATCATTTCTCTTTCTTTTTTCATTCTCCCTCTCTTTCTCAGTTCCAACAGGTTCCACCCAGTATAATGGGCTGAATTTGAGAATGGTGGGCTGGAGATTGGCCAGCTCATGGCCCAAGCTGTGATTTAAAACAGATAACACACAAGGCCCAACTGTAAATCAACACAATGAAGCAATGCTCCAAGACACTAAACACTAACACACTGACATATTCACACACACACACGCGCGCGCATATCATAGCGCTGTCTTACTCATACATTCCGTTTTCATGGAATCTTGCTCTACTTTTTTCCCTTTATACACACAAACAGACTCTTTCTCACACGCACACTCCAGCAAGTAGAAACATACACCAGGAAATAAATGATGGCCACTTTGCAGACCAAAAGCTGCTACAATGCTAGAATGGGGTCCACATATTTTTTGGGCTTCTCATAGCTGTGGATGATTGTATAGGAATAAAAAAACTCAATTAAGAAGATGTGTTGCCTTTCTGGGACACAACGCTGCACTAAGACCTCCCATGCGTCCCTTAATCCGTCCCTCCCACCCCATTTCCTTCATCCGCTCATTACGCCACACACAAAAATACAACACATTTGCCATGCATTTCTGTGGGTTTGTCCAATTCAAAAGAATACATCACGGGATTAAAGCTCAAACCTTCAAGTGCAGGATCCCAGTGCAGGAAATGCATTAATAATGCCTGACACACTGTCTTGTTGTTTTAAATACACCATGTTCCACAAGTCCTAAGACCATATGGCTGTGGAGGCCGTGACTCGATGTGCAATTTTGACAAAATTCCTACATCTTGTACCATTGCACAAATACGAGAGAGATCCAATTGTGGGCATTTAGCTCATTTGTCACATTAGCTGTTTCCATGACTTTGCGAGATGGGATGACATACGGTAACCTAACCAGCAGACTGATCTTTTTGCACAGCATCTGAAATGCAGTTTTGGTTGTTCTGAAATGCCAGGGTAAAGTCTGTCATCAAAGTGGTTTGGTATATTTTACCTTCCAGAACAGTCTTACATGACTGCGTTCCCAAACAGGAGGCATTCGCTTCCGAAAGCAAGATAGTAAAATATCAAGCAAGTTATTGTGTTTCGTCTGTGCGCTGTGAGGTGCAAGTCATTTATTATATACGACCATTATTATTAGGGGTGCAACGATATTCGAACCGAACCGAGAAAAACGTGATACAGAACTCACGATTCGAATCGCGATACTCTCGTTGCGTAACGAACACGCCCCCTGCTACCCCGGCCTCGCCCAGCCCTGCTCAATGGACCTCATGTCTTATGTATACAGTACACAATGAATTCAGTTTTGTAGCCTAACCACCACCCAGATAGCACAAGGGTATTTGATGTCCTATTTACATCTGGAAGACGTATTTTTAAGAGTGTTTGCTCATCTGCAAGACGTCTATAGGACGTTTTTTTGTCAGATGTCAAATAGACGTTTATAAGATGTCAGTTTAACATGCATTCTCAATCATTACATATTAGAGACATCTTCTAAACGTCTATTTGACATCTGCAGATGAGAAAACACTCTTAAAAATACGTCTTCCAGATGTAAATAGCACATCAAACAGCCTTGTGCTATCTGGGCATTAACACCAAATAACTAGCTCCGCGTTTTGTTACTTTCGATAATAAGCAAGGTGTAATCTTTCAAATTCAGTCTTTTTGATCTCGAAATTGAAACAATAAATGGTGTTTTGGCGCTCTTTGATGTGGCATGACAGATCGCTGTAGGCCTACTATGCTCCTCATTTCAAGCGGCAGCACGGAGTGTAAGTAAGCGCCATTATCTCTTCCTCAGTTTCAGAATGGACACATGAAGGTATGTTGAAAGGTACAGTATACTTACTGAAAGGCATCTTAACTTGTGAAATCGCTCAATCAGTGTTTTAGCAGCGGAAAGACGTCAATAAAACCGCATAGCTTGTCACTAGCATTATATTTTCCTCAACAGGCGTGATTCAGTGTCCACAACTCTGGTTCCTATAAATGAACTCTTGCACTAAATAAATGCACTATGTTAGCCTATATATTATATTTTACTTAACCTGTTAATGATATCTTGATTATTTAATGTATGTTTAAAATATCTTTCATGAACATGACAACTGTGTAAATTATTATATTTCAATAACAAATTATTCAAATTATTCAAATTCAAATAGCATCTGAATTTAAGTTAAAAGTCTAGGCTAAAACCTTGTGTAATAATGTTATAGTAATGTGCGGCTCCCTATATAGTTTAAGGCATTAGCTGTAATTTTAATCCGATTTTTTTTTATCCTTGTGAAACGTTTAATTGTAATTAAATAAATTTAAATACAAAAACAATTTTTTAATTAAATTAAAAATTTTAGCTTTCTAAACCGAACCGAACCGAACCGAGACGTCAAAACCGTGTCACGTTAGTTTGGACCCCATTGACATTTATAAAAGCAAATTTTCACTTCTTTTTTTTTTTTTTTAAAAATGAAAGTGAGAAATTAATACAGTCTGGAAACTTTTAGCCTTGTGCCAGAATGATTTAAACAATATGAAAATCAATTGTAAAAATTACCATTAGATAAAAAAATGGTAATATGAACGGAGTGAAATAAACCATGTTAATAGGTATTATGTGAAATTTATCATACATTTCTATGTTGTTTAATTTCCATTAAAACCAATGAGTTTGATTCTAAGTCAGTTATCAAACATTTATACTTGTTTGTCAAAGAGACAACAGTATTAGTAAAGAGCTTGAGATGAAAATTAAGAAAAGAATGCAAAGTCAAGGAAAACTAGTAAGCAGAATATTACTATTGTGCATCATTTCCGTGCTGTAACTTTGTCAATTGATGCAAAATGAATGAAACTATTATTTAATATTATTATTACAAATTAAATACATTTAGGATACATAAAATGCTAGCTAAGAAATGAGTGGCTGATCTTATTTAAAAAAAAAAATAAAAAAAAATGTCATATCCACCAACATTATTTCCACTAAAGAATGCCATTAAACCCATAATTTGATGTGGTGGAAATGACACTGTAGTGTAGAGGAAATGATTATAGAAAAAAAAAACATAGAATTGACAGAATTATCCAGTGATACAATGTTGGACAACTAGTGAGAGTGTGAAAACTGCTTTCAGAGAGTCCACAGGGCCAAAAAAATGTGCATAATTGAAGAAACACCCAAGAATGCAGAGCTAAGGATCAAAATCATTGCTCTGCATAATCAAAATGCAGATAAATCTGCACATTTAGCAGCGATGGACAAGGTACCATAAATCTGCTTTAGAGAACCTGGTTCTGTGTTCACAAGGGGTGGAAAGGAAAAACTCAGTTCGCAGGTCACTGACACGTACATCTGCTCTGAATTGAGTTTACACCCCTTAGAGACGTTGATTCTCTCACTGGCAGATCTCAGGAACCGTAAATTAACTAGCATTATTCTGACATTAAAGACTCTACGGTTGAGAAAGTCTGTGAAGTCAATTAGGAGATAGATGGAGTCTAACAACATCAGTGTGACAAAGTCAAGCTGGAGAATGGATCCTCTCCAAAACAGAGCAAAGGCCAAAAGATAAAAAGAGAGATGAAGAAAGAGATGGATAATGCACATTTTTTTTGGGGGGGGGATACATGCAGCTTTAGATGCAGAACTTGTGTAATCTGAAAAGGCCAGTTTAATACTGAAACAGAAGTCAACAAAAAAAGAAGTTTACAAGAATATTCTGGATTCAAAACAAGTGAAGCACAATCAACATTTGTGGCATAATGGTGATTCGCACAAACAATTATTTCAACCTTTCCCTCGTTTTCTTCACAAAAAGCAAATATCAAGGTTACGATGAGGCGCTTACAATGGAACTGAAGAGGGATAATTATTGGGGGATTCAAAAGCAAAAATGAAAAGCTTGTAATTTTACATACTGTACAAATTCTTATGTTTGTTTTTAAAATTAAAATTAGATAAAAATGAGTAAAAGTTAGTAAGGATTCATCTTTTGGCTATTGAAGCAGTGAGCATTGTAACACTTACAAATCAGCCCCATTCACTTACAGTGCCTCACTGTAACCCAGATTTTTACTGTTGTTTTTTTTTGTTTTGTTTTTTAAAGAGAATAACTTGAAGTGAAACTGGTATATTTATTTATTATTTATTTAAAGGGAGAGTTCACCCAAAAAATGAAAATAGTATCATCATTGCCTCAAGTTGTTTCAAACCTGGATAAGTTTCATTCTTCTGTTGAACACAAAAGAAGATATTTTAAAGAATCTGTGTAACCAGACAGTTGACGATTGCCGTTGACTTTCATAGTATTTTCTTTCCATACCATGGACGTCAATGGCAATCGTCAACTGTCTGGTTACAGACATTCTTTAAAATATCTTTGATTAGAATTGATAGAATAAAGTCATTAGCCTGAATTAGCCAGAATTAGCCTGATAACTCTTAATTGCGAGTTTATATCTCACAATTCTGAGAAAAGATGTCAGAATTTTGACATATAAACTCGCAATTGTGTGTTATAAAATCAGAATTGTGAGACGTAAACGCGCAATTGTGAGATAAAAAGTCGCACTTTTGTCTTTTTTTCTCAGAATTGCGACTTTATATCACACAATTTTGACTTTATATCTCGCAATTCTGACTTTATAACGTGCAATTCTGACTTTATATCACACAATTCTGACTTTATATCTCACAATTATGACTTCATATCACACAATTCTGACTTTATATCTCACAATTATGACTTCATATCACACAATTCTGACTTTATATCTCACAATTATGACTTCATATCACACAATTCTGACTTTATATCTCACAATTCTGACTTCATATCACAATTCTGACTTTATATCTCGCAATTCTGACTTTATATCTCGCAATTCTGACTTTATATCTCGCAATTCTGACTTTATATCACGCAATTCTGACTTTATATCTCACAATTCTAATAACCTAAAGCTGAAATGTTCTTTAAAAAAGTTTGAATGCAGCATATTAAACAGTTTGCAGCATACAGTTCATAAACGTATGAAATTGGGAAGAAAACTAAATGCTTGCTGCAAGCACTATAATAAAGGTTTTCCCACCAGCCAAGAGCTTTTGTCAGCATGTGTGCAAGTTCCAGGAATGCCACTACATAGTTGGGTCAAATATGCTCCAACATTAGACCACGAGTGACCTGATTTAGAGAAGCTGTTGTTTTCATCGATTCATCCAAAACAGTTGTCAAACACTGCTTCAAATCAAGTAAGCAACAAAAATGCAGGCTTAATTACACAATGCACTCATTTCCAATTCACCAAAGAAGGGTTGTATATACAAAGATGTTGTCCACATCGCTCTGCATAAACGTTCCTGCAACCAGCATTTCTCCGAGGCCTGCTGTTAAGGCGGTTTTAAAATCTGACAATGATTTTTACTAAAGAAAATCGTTTGTTTCATTTAATTTTCAACTCAAATGTTATCTACTGCCTATGGAAGCTTGTTTCCGCCATATAATGAAAAATAAAAAGGTAATTGCGACTTTTTATCCACAATTGTGACTTTTTTTTCTCACAATTATGAATTGCGAAATGTAAAGTCAGAATTGCGAGATGTAAAGTCAGAATTGCGAGATGTAAAGTCAGAATTGTGAGGTATAAAGTCAGAATTGCATGATATAAAGTTGCAATTGCGAGATATAAAGTCAGAATTGCGTGATATAAAGTCAGAATTGCATGATATAAAGTCGCAATTGCGTGTTATAAAGTCAGAATTGATAGAATAAAGTCATTAGCCTGAATTAGCCAGAATTAGCCTGATAACTCTTATTTGCGAGTTTATATCTCACAATTCTGAGAAAAGATGTCAGAATTTTGACATATAAACTCGCAATTGTGTGTTATAAAATCAGAATTGTGAGACGTAAACGCGCAATTGTGAGATAAAAAGTCGCACTTTTGACTTTTTTTCTCAGAATTGCGACTTTATATCACAATTTTGACTTTATATCTCGCAATTCTGACTTTATAACGTGCAATTCTGACTTTATATCACGCAATTCTGACTTCATCACACAATTCTGACTTTATATCTCACAATTATGACTTTATATCACGCAATTGACTTCATATCACACAATTCTGACTTTATATCACACAATTCTGACTTTATATCTCACAATTCTGACTTCATATCAAAATTCTGACTTTATATCACGCAATTCTGACTTTATATCTCGCAATTCTGACTTTATATCACGCAATTCTGACTTTATATCACACAATTCTGACTTTATATCACACAATTCTGACTTTATATCTCGCAATTCCGACTTTATATCTCGCAATTATGACTTTATATCACGCAATTCTGACTTCATATCACACAATTCTGACTTTATATCTCGCAATTCTGACTTCATATCACGCAATTCTGACTTTATATCTCGCAATTCTGACTTTATAACACGCAATTGTTTGATAAAAAGTCGCAATTATTTTTTTCTTTTTTTTTTAATTCAGTGGCGGAAACAAGCTTCCCCATAAATGCCAGATCCACACAATAGAAGAAGAAAAAAAAAAGACAGTTCTGGCCAGGAAATATTGAACCAAGAAACAATAACGGCAGAGGCCAGGGGTGCAATACTGTCCGCAAGTTCAAAACAACAAAACAAAACTAGATCTCTGCCATTATAATCATGAAACTGTTTACAGAGATGTTCAACTGACAGACACTCTGTGTGTATATCCTAATTTTGTTTGTTTCTCCATCTGTCAAAAATGATTTTATTTATAAATATCATACGTGTGAAATGACTGCTATGATTTTTACTCATTACACATCTAACCGCATCAAAAAGCAGCTCATGATTACATAAGACAGTGATTGGAATTACTTTGGATGATAAAATGTATTCTTAATGCTCATAAACAAAGACAGCGATGTGCTATGTTTGTTTGTTGGCAGGTTATAGTAACATATTCAGTTACGTCATAACTCGTCTCTCAAAGTCAGTGGAAACGTGGGCTCCCAGCCCAACACAGCTCAAAAACCAGCACCATTTTGTTGGAAAATGGATGTGTGTGTGTGTGTGTGAACCCATCTGGAAGACCATGGTTGTACCCTGAAAAACTGTTTGGGTGGTTGATGTGTGTGTGTGTGAGTGTTTAATACAGTGGTCTCACAGACCCCCTGGGAAAGCACATAAGTCTACGTGAAAAGGAAGAATTCACAGGCTCTCCATAGAAGCGAGTTTGTGATTGAGCCGACTGGGTTCCTTATTAATCAGTCAGATAGATTAAACGGCCTGGCATCACCTACACTGAGGAACACAGACGGAGAGAAAAACACTTACTGTTGGTTGTTGTTTCAGGAAAAGCAGCCCTTTGTCCATTCCAGCCTTTGTTGTCCATCTGTAGCCAATGTTAAGATAATAGAGGAGCGGAAAGATATTGGAAAGAGAGAGAGAGAGAGAGGGCCGGTTTAGCAAACCCTTTTTCATGCATGTCAGACAAGTCGCTTTCCCTTGTTTCCATTAGAAAGGGAGAATCCCTACCAAATTGAGACATCACGGCATAAGTGTCACTAACTTGCAAAGACTAAGTAGATGGAAGTTTTAAAGATTAGGGTTGTGCGCACTGAAACAAGAAGCAATGTGATGATACAAACGTATACATCCTCTCTCACTGATGCCTCCGCCATGCTGTTCATGCTGAATGTGGCAACCAAATGCGATAATGAACTAAATGAGAGCGACATCTAATTGACGTGTTACCTAAATGTAAAACAAAATGAAAAGCTGATGTGCTACAAAAGGACCTTATAAATTTTTTTTTACTGAAAAAAAAAAATGTTTTTGCCCCCTCCCTTTACTTTATTTTAAATTAATTTAAAATTAATTAATTATTTTAATGTAATAATTAAATATAAATATTTAAATGTAACAACTAAATTTTATTGATCCATTTTATTATATATTTATTTACTTCATTTGGGGACAACAAATGAGAGACATCTAATAGAATTGTTGATTTTATGTAAAAAAAAAATGACACTGTAAAAAAAAATGTTCACAATAATATTCACTTTTTAGTAGTGAAATAAGTAAGTAAATATAAATATTTGAGTAATTATGTTTTTTTATTATTATATAATTGATTTACTTTTGAAAAGTTTGTTTTATTATTGGATTTTAGTGTGAAATGAAACACTTGATTAAAATCATGTTTTTGGGATAAATACTTCTATTATTTTGAAAGTATGTGAAAAATAGCCTAATATAGGTTGTAGGTTAATAGCTACTAGCTGTAAAAGTTTCAAAGTATCTTCCCAAGCACTGATTGAAACTGACCTTTTCCGGTGTGTTCTGTAATGGTGTAGACGCCTTGTAGCCCAGTTGAAGAAGCATGGCCTCCGCTGCATTACGCTTGGCCACTTTCTTATTGGGACCAGTTCCTGTAGTGACCTCGGTACCTACTTTCACCTGCCAACAAACAGTGGTAGATGTTTATTGCTGTCTTGATGTCAGCCACTACTGTAAAACAGGGGCGTAGCCAGAATTTTATTTTTGGGGGGTCCCGTCTTTAAATGAGGGGCAACATTATTTATATATACTGTATATCAAGTTGATCTTTCCGTGCTTTTTTAAAAAAGTGTAATATTGTACTTTGAGTTTGAGCGCCTGAGTTTGAGTTTGAGCGTATATAAACAAATCAAGTTTGAAAATAAGCTGCATTTTACCGCGCAGCATTTTGATTGGTCAATCTATCAATCCTAATAAAACAACATTTTTTTTTTTTTAAGCAATCAGAAATCTGAGAGGACCGGACATGTAAATGAGGGGGCCTAGGCCCACCCAGGCCCCCTCGTGGCTACGCCACTGCTGTAAAATTGTAAGTCGTTAAACATTAGTAGTGCTGATGACTAAATGGCAGTTTGATTAGGCTACATTAAAGCTTTTTGCTCTTCATACAGATACAAAATCAGGATTGATTAAAAAACACAACAACAATGATACATCAAATGTGGTCTGAAGAGTTGAAAAAAATGCTATATTGCCTTTATTAATAATGAAAAAAGAGATGAGCAAATTATAAGCAGACCAGAATCTGATGTAAAACACCAATCGGTATAGAACTATATTCTCTAATAGTTATAAAAGATAAATCCATTTTGTTGTCAATCTGTCTCTAAACCCAGACAACCACCTTTCATATTTATAAGTAGCAAAGCAGCAGGAGGGGAGAGATGGTGTGGCCCTGAAAACCTGAAAACAGACACGTATTGATGCCCACAGACCAGAGGGGGAACAATGTGGAAATTTTAGAAGCGACTGGGCAACACAAAAGAAACACACACAAGCAGAGTCTAATGCGACAGTGAAAGGAGCATGGAGAATCAGTTAGAGGCTGCGTTACCACACGCTCAGAGATGCACGGAGTGCTTTAAAGCGAGGGATTATCGGACAGGAGACAGGGAAGATAAACTTTTCCAACTTGGATGTTGCTTGATACTTGTTTACAGTACGTGTGGTAGTGCTGGATGAGACTGACAGATCATTCAGAATGACACTCAACATGATGTTGTTTCATTAACTGTAGTGTTAATTGTACCACTTCTACTCCTGTATACCACAACTTCCACCCTGCGGGAAAGTAAGTTTTTTCTGTACTCAATTCTACTTCATTCTATTTCACTCCATCACACTGACCTATGAAATTTATTCTGCACTACTTTACTCCATTATATGCTAATGTACTCAGCTCTGCAATATCCTTTCTGCTCTACTTCTCCTATCCTATCTAGTCTAATACAGAGTTGAATGGAGCAGAGTTGTGTACTCTAAGCCATAGTATTCAATTTATCTCTCCCCTACCCTATCTACAATACCCTTCAACTCTACACTATTCTATACAATCCCACTCTATATTACCTACTCTACTCCAATCCATCCTATCCTAACTTGTCGTTAGTTCCATTCAACAACGTACTACTTTACACCATACTATTCTATTTAACTCTGACCTGCTCTCATGTACCCTATCCTATGTATCTATTCTAATCTAACACACAATGTAAAATTCTACCCTACTCTATACAACAATTCTATTTTATACAACTCTAACCAAATTTACTCAATACAACTTTTAATGCTCTATACAAATCTATGCTATCTAGTCTACACTATTCCATTAACAACTCTTCCCTAGTCTATGCAACTCTACACAAATGCACTCTATCAATCTACTCTACTCCAATCAATCGTATCTTGAGTACACAACTACATTCAACAACTCTACCCTACTCCATAAAACCCTACCCCATACGACTCTGCCCTTAGCCCATACCACTCTGCCCTTACTCCACACGACTCTGCCCTTGGCCCATACGACTCTGCCCTTGGCCCATACGACTCTGCCCTTGGCCTATACGACTCTGCCCTTGGCCTATACGACTCTGCCCTTGGCCCATACGACTCTGCCCCTACCCCATACGACTCTGCCCTTGGCCCATACGACTCTGCCCTTGGCCCATACGACTCTGCCCTTAGCCCATACGACTCGCCCTTAGCCCATACGACTCTGCCCTTACTCCATAAGACTCTGCCCTTGGCCCATACGACTCTGCCCTTGGCCTATACGACTCTGCCCTTGGCCCATACGACTCTGCCCTTGGCCTATACGACTCTGCCCTTGGCCCATACGACTCTGCCCTTGGCCCATACGACTCTGCCCTTAGCCCATATGACTCTGCCCTTAGCCCATACGACTCTGCCCCTACCCCATATGACTCTACCCTTAGCCCATCCAACTCGCCCTTAGCCCATACGACTCTGCCCTACCCCATACGACTCTGCCCTTAGCCCATACGACTCTGCCCCTACCCCATACGACTCTGCCCTTACCCCATACGACTCTGCCCTTAGCCCATACGACTCTGCCCTTACCCCATACGACTCTGCCCTTAGCCCATACGACTCTGCCCTTAGCCCATACGACTCTGCCCCTACCCCATACGACTCTGCCCTTAGCCCATACGACTCTGCCCCTACCCCATACGACTCTGCCCTTAGCCCATACGACTCTGCCCTTAGCCCATACGACTCTGCCCTTAGCCCATACGACTCTGCCCCTACCCCATACGACTCTGCCCCTACCCCATACGACTCTGCCCTTAGCCCATACGACTCTGCCCCTACCCCATACGACTCTGCCCTTACTCCATACGACTCTGCCCCTACCCCATACGACTCTGCCCTTATTCCATACGACTCTGCCCCTACCCCATACGACTCTGCCCTTAGCCCATACGACTCTGCCCCTACCCCATACGACTCTGCCCTTACTCCATACGACTCTGCCCCTACCCCATACGACTCTGCCCTTAGCCCATACGACTCTGCCCTTAGCCCATACGACTCTGCCCTACCCCATACGACTCTGCCCTTAGCCCATACGACTCTGCCCCTACCCCATACGACTCTGCCCCTACCCCATACGACTCTGCCCTTATTCCATACGACTCTGCCCCTACCCCATACGACTCTGCCCTTAGCCCATACGACTCTGCCCCTACCCCATACGACTCTGCCCTTACTCCATACGACTCTGCCCCTACCCCATACGACTCTGCCCTTAGCCCATACGACTCTGCCCTTAGCCCATACGACTCTGCCCCTACCCCATACGACTCTGCCCTTAGCCCATACGACTCTGCCCCTACCCCATACGACTCTGCCCTTAGCCCATACGACTCTGCCCCTACCCCATACGACTCTGCCCCTACCCCATACGACTCTGCCCTTAGCCCATACGACTCTGCCCCTACCCCATGTGACTCTGCCCTTAGCCCATACGACTCTGCCCTTAGCCCATACGACTCTGCCCCTACCCCATACGACTCTGCCCTTAGCCCATACGACTCTGCCCTTAGCCCATACGACTCTGCCCCTACCCCATACGACTCTGCCCCTACCCCATACGACTCTGCCCTTTGCCCACACGACTCTGCCCCTACCCCATACGACTCTGCCCTTAGCCCATACGACTCTGCCCTTAGCCCATACGACTCTGCCCCTACCCCATACGACTCTGCCCTTAGCCCATACGACTCTGCCCCTACCCCATACGACTCTGCCCTTAGCCCATACGACTCTGCCCCTACCCCATACGACTCTGCCCTTAGCCCATACGACTCTGCCCTACCCCATACGACTCTGCCCTTAGCCCATACGACTCTGCCCCTACCCCATACGACTCTGCCCCTACCCCATACGACTCTGCCCTTAGCCCATACGACTCTGCCCCTACCCCATGTGACTCTGCCCTTAGCCCATACGACTCTGCCCTTAGCCCATACGACTCTGCCCCTACCCCATACGACTCTGCCCTTAGCCCATACGACTCTGCCCTTAGCCCATACAACTCTGCCCCTACCCCATACGACTCTGCCCCTACCCCATACGACTCTGCCCTTAGCCCACACGACTCTGCCCCTACCCCATACGACTCTCCCCCTACCCCATACAACTCTGTCATTACTGCATAAAGCTGCTTTTTTCTAGATCACTGCAGCGGAGGAAGAGTTAAAGAGTCTACACCATTACGTGAGCTTTATTTAATGTAATGGCATAAAAAATATTTGTCCGTTTTTTTAACATTAAGCTACTGAATGGCTTTGGAAGACTTGAAATATTTAGTGCACAAAAACTCTTATTGTGCTTTATAATATGTTTTTTGCCTTTTGTGGAGCTTAGCAATAACAACCGCGAGTATGCACAGGACATATCGGAAGTCTGACAGGACAGAATCTGGCAATAGTCGCAGTATCGAAGCCGATCCTGAATACTGGATCGGTACATCCCTACTTTACACAAATCTACTCTAACCTATCTACTCTACCGTTTCAGCTCCACACCATTATATACTATTCTGTCCTAACACTAATAAATCCAATGTTCACTACACTTTTAACTATAATACTCTACACTGCTATTCAATGTTATCCTATCTCCTATTGTACTCCAAACAACTGTATACAAATCTTCTCTTTTAACACTAATCGATATTACTCTACTTGAATCCAATGTATACTGTTCTATTTAACTCTAATCAACTGCACTCTACCACTCAACTCTATTCTGCTCTAATTTACTGTGCTCCATTTACTATACTACAAATTGCCAAATGAACAACTGCAGATATTTCAGAGCAAATTAGCCCAGGTATACAAGTTCCGATTGGTCATGTTGAGCCCAGGGTTAAAAATCTTTCATGATTTAAGAGTCCAAATTTAAGCATATCCAAGTTGGAGGCATTTCAAAACATATGTGGAAATCTGAGGTGATTTTAAGCCAGTTCTGCTAGAATTGGTGTGTCTTTATTCCCAGGGACTAAACACTGCTGTTATGGCTACAGGGGGCTTCATTTTTACTGTATGAGGTAAAGTAATGTTTTTCACTGGGCAGCGAGCAGTACAGTTATTGTTGTTTTAATGGCATGTAATAAACCAGAGGCTAAGTGCATGTGTGATGCAGTGAGCAATCAGAAAAAGATTAAATACAAGCCAACTGTCAATTATTATGCCTGCCTGGGATTTGCATATACCTTCATGCACGAGGTCAAAAGCATAAATGCACATATTTGTTGAACAGGGCAGAAGCTTTTGCACAAAGCACTTCAAAATGAAAATTCTGTCATCATTTACTTACCCTCAAGTTGTTTCAAACCTGCATGCATTTCGTTCTTCTGCTGAACACAGAAGAAGATATTTTGAAGAATGTCGGTAACCAGACAGTTGATGTTCCCCATTGACAACCATAGTATTTTTTGGAAGTCAATGGGGAACATCAACTGTCTGGTTACCGACATTCTTCAAAATATCTTCATATTCATACAGATTTGAAACAACTTAAGGGTGAATAAATTAGGACAGAATTTTCATTTTGAAGTGAAATATTCCTTTAAGCTTTGAAATGTGCTTGAACATACAGTACACATACAGTTATTGCCATTACCTAAATGATCTAAATCAAGACTAATTATCCATTACCAACTGCAGTAAGATAATATTTCCAAGAGTAAATGAACAACTGTGTGTGTGTGTGTGTGTAAAAAGAGTCCCTGCCTGACTTTGACAGAGCTGAAGGTCAGTGGTAATCAGAGCCAGAGGAGGTGACAGTCTTTCTGATTAAGACAGATTGCACAGTGGGAGGTTATCAGTGTTTGTGCAGGACTCCTCTGTCCTTCACAACCCCCCCCCCCCCCCCCCCCCCAAAGGGGCCAAGTTTTTCTTTTACTTAATACCTCCTGAATCCCTCTCTTATTAAATGTACCTGCATGATGAATTCTCTACGGCGGGGCATTCCTCTCTCTGAAAGCAGCATATATTCGGGCTCCTTCTCCTTTTTGGCCTGTTGAATCTGAGCCAGTCTGCTAATAGGGTTCATGCCCTGTCCGTATTCTGGTCCTGTCTGAGAGAGAAATTGAGAATGAAAAAGAAAATGAGAATGAGGATGAGAGACACAGATAAAGCAGCCAAGGGACAGATGGATGGCTGGTTAATGTTCACGTCAGTAACCCTGTCAGGGGAATGACAAAAGGGTGAATGAGCGTGTGTGAATGAGTGACTGACTGAGTGAGCGAGCGAATGAGTGAGGCAATGAACATCTGTATGAATTAAAAGGCTCCAAAAATGTCTAGAATTTCAGCCTGAATGAACAAAGAATCGTTCACCCAAAAAGAATGATTCTGTCATGATTAACCCTTCCTCAGTTGTTCAAAAAACGGGTTCAACTTCCATTTCTATTAAAAAAAAATTCAATGAATATGATGTTAATTTCACTGTTTGTCACAAAAAAAACTAACAAATGGTTTCAGAAGTTTCAGAATAAAGTATTATCATGTGGACCATTTTTATGACTTTATGAGTTGACTCAATGTTCATTTATTTTAATTATATAAAAGAACAAACATTGTTTATCATATTTGAGTGAACTATTATTCCTGAACCAAGGATCAAATTGTATACTTGAAAAGCAGTTTTTTTTAAAATGTACAACACCGTTCCAAAGATTGGGGTCAGTATGATTAAGCAATTAATACATTTATTCAGCAAAAATGCATTAACTTGATCAAAAGTGACAGTTAAGACATTTATAATGGTAAAAAAGATTTCTATATCAAATAAATCCTGTTGTTTAGAACTTTATATTAATAAAAAAAAATCTGAAAAAACAACTGTTTTCAAAACATTAGAAATGTCTCTTAAGCACCAAATCATCATATTAAAATTGAAGGATCATGTGACACTGAAGATTGGAGTAATGGCTGCTGAAAATCCAACTTGGTCATCACAGGAATAAATATTGTAATAATATTTCACAATATTACAACACAAATCTCCATAAAAACAATTTAATATTGATAACAGAGTTTGTGCTTTATTCATTGACAGGGTTGTTGTTGGTGTTTAATTTGAACGACGGTACACATCCCATAATAAATTCATACAAGTCAATGTAATATTCCAGTTACATCGACCACTCAGGAATTAGTTCTGCTCTTAAATCTACCCACCTTTAATATGGTCTTGGGCCGCTTCTTGTAATGCACTTTGGGTTTCTCTACCACAGGAAGGACTGGCAGTGTCTTCAGTTCCTGTAAGATGGAGAGAGCTGCTCTCTTTTTGGAGAGTTTCTTACTATTCCCCTCACCCTCGGCCGAGAACTCCCCCACCGTCACGCGTGTGAGGAAACTCTTCATGTGTGGGGGTCCACTCTCCTTCAGCACCTGAGGGCCACGTAAAAGAACACGTTACACAAGAGAACACACATGCATGCAGAAGTGGGAACAGCGGTTATTCCAGTCATGCTCTCGTTCTCTCTGCCCCTTAGGCCATGTCTCCTGCACGCTCTTTTCTTTCTGCACTTTCTTTTCCTTTTCCTTTTCTTTTTCTCAGCAAAGGGGAATACTGCTAATTAGACTCACTACACTGGAGCTGTCCGCTTTAACACCCGTATCAATAACTCATATAGGGAGAGAGACCACTGGAACTTAAGAGACTGCACCTGGTTCTTAAACACACACACACAAAGTATGAATATATAAATATGAATGAATATGCATATGAAAGAAAACAAATCAGAAGTACACACATTAATGCAGACTTAATGACATTTTAGGCTTGTGAACAAGAATCTAGCTGATTTTCTTTTTTTCCATTACAAAAATGTTATATTATATTATATTGTATCTTTATTACATAAAATGTTTTGTTATATATATTTAATATTATAACTACATATTTTTACTTAAAAATATTAGTTTTGTAATTATTAACTACAACTATTACTATCATTTTCATTAAATGAAATACAGATTAATTCATTCATTCATTTCAATAGAAGAAAAACTAAAATTGAAAACTGAATAAAATAATTAGGACAAAAATGACTAAACCTCAAATAAAAATAAGTTAATCCTAAATATAGAAATATTAAAAACAAGACAAATACAAATGACAAAAGCACTTAACAAAATGACTCAAATTTAAACCACCAATTCAAAAATAATAATATATACTATAATTTTTGCAATTGTTTTATGGCAGATCAGAGTTGATTTGATTTCCAATCAATCAAACTGCACTTCTGCGTTTTCTAATTTTGCGCTGACTGTTCAAACTCTGTTCTGCAACTATTCATTTCTCACGAATGCATGGCGTGAGAAACCCAAATTTAATGTAATGCACATGTAATCGTATTTACTTCCTGTGACATCATCAAGATGGTCAACAGAACAGGTGAGCTGCTCTGAGCTCTTTAAGAGCAACACTGGGGGGATTGAGTTTCACACAGCTGAGGGTGGGCCTCTATGTGCTCAGTCAGAACTGAAAGTTATCCGTCTCCAGAGACTCCCTCCTCACATCCTCTCTTCACACACATGACCATTTTGGCATCCATACAAACATGTGACACTGCAGTGAAACAGGCTCAGCTGAGAGCCTATTCAAATACAGTGGCAAACTTCAATAAGCTTCATGACGCTTGGATGCCCGTGCCATTTCAAACCACGCACAATGCCTTAAAGGGATAGTTCATCAAAAAAATTGTTCATCCATGGACATTGTCATTATTAATCACCATCAATTTTGTACATTGGGTCTCATTCATGAAACACGAGCAGAACAAATTTTGTGTGTAAATCGTGTGTAAAGTGGTTCTGGCGTAAATTTTCGGATTCATTAAAATGTTCGTATTTTCCAAATGTTAGTTGGTACCCAAGAAATCTACACCTGCTCCCAGCCACGCGTAAATGGTGCGCTTAACATCCAAACGTTTTGCTCAATAATAAGGCTGCATTTTAGTTCACCAATCGGGTACATATTTAAACAGCATTTTGAAAAAATATTTTATATAGTAATTACATACGATTTTTCTTTTTACTTTTATTATGAGAGCCAGTAATAGCAGATCTGGTGATCGATGGCGGTCCTTCTCCAGTTTGAATACGATTTTTCCGAAGTGAACTACTTTTTTGCTGTCAAGCTTAATGTCGAACCATTTTCTTCTCACTTCTGGGACTGTTCGATTAACAGATGAAACTCCATTAACTGCATCTGTAATATGCTGCCAAGCTTCCTTTTTTTAGGACCTGATACGCCACTAGTACGCTTGAAAATAAAATGTGGCATTTTGAACGAACTTCTGATAATAAAACTTCAATTTCTGCATCCGAGAAATCTTTCTTTTTCATTCGCATTCATGTTATTATATGCGTATAGATGTCAGTCGGATATAATGGGCGGGATTTATGGTAATTGAGAATGAACGTGCACGCGCATCCGATTTACGACTGGTTGGAATTCATTAACACACACACACACATTTCACAATCACATCTGACGTTTACAAAGTATTTGTGAATCAGGAGAAGAGTTTTTGGGAAGGTCTCTTTTTACGTGCAAATCACTCTCATATTTACTCGTATATTTACGAATGTTTCATGAATGAGACCCAAAGTTTTTTTTTCTCTTTTGCAAAACAAAAGGAGACATTTCATGAATGTTCCGCGGAATGAAAATGGGTGAAAAAAGTACCGCAAAGTAGGTCCATTTCACTCATAATGATGATATGAACAGAGAAATTTTACTGGAAATTCAAAACAAATCAATCAAAGTAATCAAAAAGTAAGTCATTTTTAAAAATTAGAGCCAAAATAAATAAAAAATAAATGAAAATAAATAAATATAATATATCTTTTTTGTTTATATCTATTTTTTGTTTATTTTAATAAATAAATTATTGACATTAATTTTGAGATTAAAGTTTTCGTGATCGTGACAGCACTAATATATATATATACTGTATATATATATATATATATATATATATAAAACGGTTAGTTCGAATCCTTGATTCTGATTGGTTAAGAGCTGTGCTTTATTCACGATAAAACACGGCTAAGACCGCTTCACCCAACGGTTCTATTGATCGCTGCGCAACACTGCGGTTCTATGTTGTTTTTATTTGAGCTTTCATGCATATTACACATTGGAACGTTGTTGCTGTTCACGCTCAGGGACTATTTTTTCTAGCAAAAGGAAGGCTTTTAGTGATTTCACTTCAAGAAAGTTGCAATAATACATTGTTTTTTACTTTAATATTGTGTGGCAACCGTTTTATAAAAGCAATAAGGTACTCGAGGCAAGTGCTGTATCGTGAATAAGTAACGGCTGAAGGGGTTGCAGGCACTCTGTTTCGAGTCGTGCCTAACAACGCCCTTCAGCCGTTACTTATTCACGATACAGCACAGCCTCTCGTACCTTATTGCTTACATATACATATATATAGTGCTGTCACAATAGCGATTAAAAACATTGGAGTTTTTTTACTGTTTTATACATTTTTATATTGTAATAATTTCACAGTTAATCTCCAAATTAATGTAGAAACAACTTAAAGACAGTACATTTTACATTTTTGTTGTAATAACATATTTTTTATACATTATTGATAGACTTTTATTTAGCTTTAAAAAAAATTTAAACTTTTAATTTAAGTGAACTTAAAACAATCTTCACATAAACCCTTTATAATACATTTCCTATCTACCTGTGGCCTTCCTAACCTTCTAACAGGTAGGACATATAGAGAAATTGAATAAGGTTATCAAATACTTAACAATATTATATGCATAAATTCTAAAGTATATTAAAGCAGTAGTATGCGCACATACAGAAACTTTAGGAAGGTGTGCAATCAAATGAAGCAGTGCCACTGCCATTTGCAAAGGATTCATTTATTGAACAGCGTTTCGACCTGAATGTTGGACGCCTAACGAAGACATTCGTGTTGTACAGATGTTATGCAAGTCCTATAAGACTGCTCTTATGACAACAATAAAAAATGGTCATTTTTGCATAATTGTGTGTTATGTAATGCTACATATTCATAGTACAATGGCATAAAATGGAGAAACTAAGTGAATGAAGAAAACTATAAATATGGGCTGTGTTGGTGCTACTTTTATGGTGCTTTTTGATCTCTACCGCCTCAGTTCCCATTCACTGTCATCTTTAGTGAGGAAAGAAAATCATCCGGGTTTCAAACAACATGAGGGTGAGTAAATGATGAAAGAAATGTAATTTCTGGGATCTTTAAAGCTGAAGACAGTTACTATGAATGATTGGAAGCATAGGCAAACATCATTAATCTTCATCTGTATGCTTCTAGTCCTCAACAATCTGGGCTTTCATCTGAAGATGGCCAGGAGCTGAGAAACACAAGAGAGCACTGTGCATTTCCCGCACACTTGACAGAGCGACATAACCCAATATTTACTAGGCCTTGATGTGGAATGCATTTGATCATCACACTTAGATGTTACATAAGTATTGAGAATTCCTCTGGGTGAGCATCACTCTATAACGAAATGACGAAATTCTGCTATACTTCCTCTTGGAAATATCATGATATCGTTTTAAGCTCTCTTGCGAGGATGAGGTGTGGGGAGGAAGGAAAAGGGCTAAAAGCTGCAAGTCCGTCATTGAGGGAACTCCCACATGGTCTAGTAGTCCATGGGTTGAGAGTGGAGATTTATCTAGGACGGCACTAAGTTACGTAGATCAAAACTATACTCACAGTCTCTGATTATACAACTAATTCAATTCGGATAGAAAATGGACAAAAATAAAATAAATAAAAATGAGAAAAAGAGATTAACGATGTGATTAAGGGAAAATGATATTCTCCTTGATGAAAAAATTCTGAAATAACTCATAAAGAAGGCATAAAGCTATTTATGTAATTTCAATGTTATGTAACAACCTATTGTGTCAAACAACGAAAGATTCTGAAACGTACATTATTTTTACACTATTTAACACAAATTACACAATCAAAAGCACAATCTCCGGGTGAAAAAAATAGGCAAGAATGTCACATAAAAGGGAGAGTTCACGCAAAAATGAAATTTCTGTCATCATATACTCATTCTCACATCTTTCCAAACTTTTCTTTCTTTCTGTGTGACACAAAAATATATATTTTGAAATACGTCTCTGTGTTTTTTTTTTGTTTGTACAATGAAAGCCAACGGGACCCCGTTGACTTACATTATGGACAAAAACAGTTCTTCAACATATCTTGTTTCCACAGAGAGAAAGTCATGCAGGTTTGGAATGAGTGCGAGTAAATGACGACAATTAAAATTTTTGAATGAACTGTCCTTTAATATCTTATTTTGCACTCGTTTTATTAGATGGGTTTAACAAAAATCAGTTGTTAGTG